AAATAATAGTCACTTTCGTCTGGAAAATTTGACGTTAAATTACAACTTAAATACTTTACTTCAAAAGTTTATACTCTGATTTGCGTTATGTTCACAGCTGATCTACAAAAGTATCTGCAACAATGTACAATTTGGTGTAAAAATTTTAACAAGGTTGTAATTTTAATGTTGACGACGTACAATACGTACAATTGTGATTGCTATGCCAAAAAATAGCTTATTGATATTGTTTTTAATAATCCACAAGTGAATGTGGACGAAAATTGTGGATCACAAGTAATGATTTTTAAACAATGTATAGAGAGGATTTAACATCTCCTAACTACATTTCGATTCATTATTGTGTACGAAACATAAATAAATGACCACAGACCCGAGATTAATACCATAAATAATCGGATCAATAAACTCTACCGAATCAGTACCGAAAACAATAGAGGCAATGAAGTCGGTGGGAAACGCGATGACCACAGTTAAAATTTACATTTTATGTTCGTGAAATGGTTTAAAATGGTTATATATGAATTATAAATATTATTATTATTAAAAAGAAGGGATAGTGCACTGGAACCTAAAAGATCTATTGTGCCCTTAGTCGGATTAGAGTGTTTCTCCAAGTCAGATTTTTTTAATGAAACATAGTAAGAGCTTATCTTTCTTAGTCTTGGATCTTTATGATCCATGAAATACCCTCCTATGTGTTTCTTCCGCTTGTGCATCAGTGCTGGGCACTCCCCAAGCACATGGTCTGCAGTTTCTCTCTCTTCTGTACAGTATCTGTACAGTATGAGTTGGATTGAATTCCTGATTTCGATAGGTGATTATTCAATCTATAGTGACTGGTCAATAATCCCGCAATAATTCCGAATTGTAAATATAATAAATATAAAATATGTTCGAAGTCATATTTTACATTAAAGTAGCGGTATTGTATGTCCAGGCAATTCAATTCCAAAAATTGTTTTATAGCGCCCCCGTGTACAAGAGGTACGCCTATGATAATGAAATAAATATCATCATTATTTTTATTTTAATAAAAGATTGTGCCTCAATTAATATTTTGTCTAAAGACGTATGTGAGTTATATGTGTTGTACACGTAATAACTTTAATTATGAATTATTAATTAGTGAATTATTAAATAATTATTAATTAAATTTTATTAACATTTATTTTATTTATTAATTATTCTTTAAATTAATATAATGAGTATAACTGAGTTTTTTCTATTGTTATCCAATTGTAAACGTAGACCAATCTTATGAGGAAAATTTATTAATCAATATAAACAATAATTAATTACATAATTAGTTTAAATTGCTTAATTGGGTTAGTTTAGATGTGTAAACGTGAACCAATTTGCATTAGTGTAGCTGTATATTAAAAAAATGGAGAAAGTATTAAAAACTCAAAGCATTTTTTTATTTTTCTTTCTAGTTTTAAAACAATTAAAAATAGAGCAGCTTAACCATTTCATTTCACTTTCAATAACTATAATATATATAAAATTTTTTACTCACATTGAACTAATTTAAAAATGAATAATAGATATGGTACCAGATTTTATTTACATTTGTTAACATAAATTATTAGAAAAAAAAAACAAAATATAAAACAAAACAGCAAAAAATATATTAAACATACAACAACAAATAAAAGATACGTTTTATGGTAACCTTCAGAATCACCGTACAGTACTTCAAGCTTCAAACTCACCCACATTCATTACATTTACCTCGAAGTATAGTATGTTTTCGTACTATACTGACTGCAGTGATCGCTCATACACATTTAAACATATATCTGCTTTAGATCTGTGTAAGTTTCGCGTTTATGGCAGTTGTTTTAAAAACACTTTTAAGAGAAATCTTAAATCTGTTTCATAAAAAATATTAAAAAACTTACACTTTTACTTTTACAAAAATATTTTATAAAAAATCTTGTTCAATTTAAAATTTAAATATTATACGTAAATTATTTATCTATTGGTCACTAGACATAAATTTCGTAAATTTTTGTTCAACCTTTTTTGTGTTTTTTCTTTCCTTCATCGTGGCTTAAACAGAAAGAAGTAACTAAGTGCATTAAACAGTATTTCGAACTATTTTACCATAGTTTTGAATTCGTATATACAGTAATTTATAATTTATTTAAAAAGAAAAAACAAGAAAACTTTAACTTAAACTCACTTTAATTATAATAAGTACATTTTATTTCAAGTACGACGTAAATAAGCAAATGACGCAAGTTGCCACCAAGCACCAACACGTCCTACTTCAATCGCAGCTTAAGCTTAACTAAGAAAACTTAACTTTCAATATATACACAAGCCCCCCCTCATGCACATGCAAATCGAAGACATAACTCAGTTTATGGGAGAAGGAAAACAAAAGACGTTGGAAACTGTAAATGTTCGTAATTCTTAAAGTAAAACAAAGTTTAAGCCAAAGAATTGGCAGGTCCAACAACGTGCGATCATTTATTAAACGTAGGTTTGTACGTAAAGGCTTATGCGTATACATGTTTGTATGTATAAATGCAATTATATAACAATAGAGCAAGACTTGCGTCGAGAGCGTATTACCTCGTTACCTATTACTTTTTTACATTTATTACCTTAAGCAATTCATAAACAAGAAAACAAGACAGAGTAAAGTCAACCAAGAGAGTGATACTCGTACAATCACTAAATTATAATGATATGTTTATTTTGAACAATTTTTTTTTCTTTTTTAACTTTATACTAAGAACAGGATATTGTTACAAGTGCTTTGGTATAACAATGGAGACTTTTTTGCATTTCCAAAACATAAATTTCTCCTCTTTTAAAATTATACGATTTTGACTATTGTTTTACATTTTATATTTCCCTCAAGTTTTTGCATGAGAAACGTGATTAATGTTTTCTATGTTTTTATTTTTTTTTATTATCATATATCATTATTTATTTATATTATTATTTTAAGTAAAAAGAAAAGCCTAATAATTGGTTAAATAATAAGAATATATCACCTGAATCTCGGTGTACAGTATTCCCCATTTTTTAATAATTATTCTTAAGAATTTTGTAGTAAAGTTCTTATGTCTCTAAGGACACTTAAGACAAACTTAAGTATTTCATACTTTGATGATGATGTAAATATCAACATAAGTATACATTCGAATATCTTTTTTGAAAAACAAGGGTTTTGGTTATTATATTATATTATAAATATTGAAGCAATGTACCAACGTGCGCACTCAAAATTTTAAGCTGTGCCCTTTAAATAATTTTAATGCTGCTGTCATTTGTCTACCACCCTTACTGTGTTCATAAGATTCTATATAGGATATGGTTTAATTATGTTTTGTTAAGTAATGTTTTCATTTATATTTATTTGGATTTTCTTGACTTCAAAATGCTTTTGAAAGACAATAAAGACTATCCAAGCGTTAACTTGAAGTGAAGTCTTTTGATTGTACAATGATAACATTATTCTTACTGACTGCATTTCTATAATGATAGAAATGCGCTTGCATATCTTTTCATTGACTGTAATTTTTCAATGTGTTGACTAAATTCTTACTAGCTATAGGCGCCGTTTTGAATCTATTCTCTACACTTATATTCAGTTGTACTAATAATTGGACTGCAAATCTTAACGTTATTTGCGAGTCAATTATATACAAAAGACAAAGAGATGGTAATATAAATATTGTCGAAAAATTTTAGAGTATGACAGGATCATTTAAAACGTAATCATTATATATAATATCTAATATATATGTCTATAATATATATAATATCACATTTTAGAAAGATATAGAGCACATATTCCATCTCAAGCAAGTATAAAAATTGGTTGTTAATAAGCTAACAAACCACAGAAATTAGAGTAGTCTCGTGATGCTTCCAATTAAGAGCAAAACTTTTATCAAAATTGTAATTCAATGGTTGGCTATAATTTTTCGGTCTATTAATTATTAGAATAATGTATAATTATTATTATTATTGACATGTTCTAGCATTACATCAAAGAGGTAAATTAAGAACTTAGTCTATTTATGGCATTTCCACAAATCTCGGTTTTTAGCTATATGTCTTAACTCATTCAATGTTTTATTCGTTTCCGCTTCGTTAACGCGGAAGCGTCCTCATCTTGGTGCGTCCTCTGTTTCTTGCACCTTGGAGGTTCCATTGTAAAGCTAATGTATAATATGTATAATAGCCAGTAATTATACATTAAGAAAAGGTTATTGATACAGTTAAAAGTACATATATGTGGAAAGATTCTGAAGAGCGAGGTTGCTGTAATACTGTTTAAACATATATGAAATTTATGACTGCTCGCACTACAGGATAGCAACAAAATCCTTTTAAAGTAAGGCTTCAAAATCACTTACAATAAAAGATAATAATATTTCTAATCAACTAACCAAACTTTAAAGATTTCAAAAATTTGTATAGAATATTATGTTAGTATTTCATTTATATAAACCTATGATATGATTGGTACTTGTTATATCACTTGTTAATAAAATTTGCTAAGCTTGACTTAGAAATAAATATATAGGGTACTAGATTCAAGTTATATATTATATTTATATTTAAATATAGGTTTTCTAAATGCTATATGCAACGCAAACAGTAAAAATAAAAATTATTTCTACTCGCCATTCCATATTAATTTTCTTTACTATTTACTTACTATATAGACAAACCACCTCATTATTTAAATTATACAGACGTTTTTTTACAACTATCTGCAGCATTTATGACCAAAAATGATAACTCTATTAATATATTGGAACAATTATGTTATTATGCTTTATTTTTATTTAAATATTTTTATTAAATTATTATTACTATGCACATCAACCTCTTATGACCAGCTATTTTGATTCACACAGAATTGTGAACAGAAAGAACACTTTAATATATGGCAAGAGAGAATACCAAAACTTGTAGCAGTAACATCATAATTAAGCTAAATGTCAAAATAATGATTGAGTCAGTGACTATCGTCATAATAGTATTGTTAATTTTGAGTGTCAACAGCTGACTTCACTAATGTACAAAATTAAATAAATATTTACAGCGAATTAAAAAATGAGAACCAAAATTGATTTGTGAGTATTTTAATGAATTAAATACTTCAATAATGATTATTTGTTTGATATATGTTATATTATTTAGAGAAGGTAAAAGAGTACGCACTAGACAAAAACAGCTGGAATTTTTCCTTCAATTTTCGAAAGAGCATCAGTCGATATTGAGGGGAGAAAAAGACCCGCGCGCTTGGTCAGAACTGGCTGATAGTTTAAATGCAATGCGAGGCCCAACAAGAAGTGCATCGAAGTGGAGACAGGTAATTTTTATAATACATGTGAAACAGTTGTTTCAATTGGAATTCAGATTTTTAGTCAATTAAGGAAAAACTGAACAATATGCTGTACTTATTACTTGCGAATCTTTTTTAAAAATGTTTTGGTTCATAAATAATAACTACAGATCCAATAATAATTGTAAATAATCTTGTAAATAAAATTAACAATATAATTTTGAATGCTAATTTAGTTAAATACCATAAAAATCTTAATAATTGCGTTCTGTATTCCACCTTTAAAATTTTTGTTGATTAAATAAAAGTAATGAGTGCTAGAAAAAAATATATTTACAAGAAATTATTTTTCAGACTTTAAATCATTGGCGTAACCAAGTTCGTTCGCGTGCCAAAAAAGCAAGAAGTGGTGGTCCTGGAATAACAATTCAGTTATCTGAGCTTGAATGTCAAGCGATGGATACATTTGGTAGTTCAGCTGAAACTGGTTTAATAGAATTACCTGCGTTAGGAATACAAGTTAGATTCGTAAATAAATAAAACATTCCTCGTCATTTTTGCGTTTAATTTTTAGAGTTTTGATGATAGTGGCAGTATTATAATTGAACCAAAACAGGAACTATTATCACCAGTTGGAAATGTTTCAGGACCCCCATCAACACCAAGTGCACCATCGTGTTCCCCAAACCTTACTGCTCCTACATTCTCGAAACGGAAACGTGTCACTGACGATAAGGAGTTATCGCTTCTCAGAGAATCAATTAAAAAATCCAGAGAATACGAAGAACGTTCCCTGGCAATTCAGGAACAAGTTCTTGAAACGCAACAAGCAATCGCATCCGCTTTAAACAATATTAGTACAGCAGTTTTTCAATTTATTGAATTAAAAAATAAACCAAATTATAAATAAATTTATATATGTAGTTTCTTTTAATTAAATTATTTTCATTGCCGTGTACTTCTTTTGTTACGTACGAGTTTGTAAATTTGGCATCACTTGATATATATTCGTCTATTTGTACTTCAACGGTTTGTAGAATAAATTATTAAACATTTTTAAATGTAGAATAATAAGTGTGAAATCTTGATTATAATAAATGATAAAATTATATAAATAAAACTTCAGCTTTTTATAACAAATCAAAATTTTTTTTTTTAGTACTTATAAAACTAATTTGTTTAAACTTCTTCGACGTTAACAATTCGTATATTAATAACAATATATTAAAAAATATTTAAATGGTATACATTACATGTTTTTTTATAAAAAAGTGTATGTTTGTGCTCATGATTTTAATATTTTTTTAGGAGTTTACATAAAATCATCCGACTCATTACCATCATCATAATTAGATTTCATTTGATCTGGTTTAAAAAATCCTACATAATTTCGAATTTTAGCCTCTTCCTCCTTACGTTTTAACTCATCCTTTTCCTTCGCTTGTTGCATTTGAAGGGCTCGTTTTTTTTCTTTATTTTCCTCCATGTCTCTCTTCTCTCGTTGCTCTCTTAAGTCAGGATGATCTTCTTTTTTGGTTTTATTTAATCTGTTTACAATTTCGTTATTTCGTTTCTCAACAAGAATTTTTTTGACCTGATCATCGCGGTGAAATGCAACTTGTCCAGCTTCCATAGCAGGAGTTTTCTTCAAATTTTCCCATGGAGTATATACAACTTCGATGTTTTTCATTTTATTACCCTGTATGCTGTTTGCTTTAACAAGTTGTGCAGCATCATTAAGGACCTCTGTTGGGATGTCAGCAAATGTTTGCCCCTTTAAAATAAAATATTATGCCATGAACTTGTCATATACGATAAATACACATTAAAAGTACAAATACATAATTTATTTTACCTTTTGGAGTCTTAAATACACGTGAGCCGATGAAAGATCACTTACATGAAACCATACATCCTCTGGCCAACCCCAGCGTATCAATTCCTCGTCTTAAATAAAAAATAAACAAGTTCAATTATTTTATGTTTCTATGACATTAAAACTTATATACAGTAGCTCTTGAATAGATGATTGCTGCTTTAGTTTGTGCTCTTAAACGAGCCATTTATTGATTTATAAGCAAGCAAAACAAAATTCCTCTGTTAAATCACTTATGATAGAGGTTTTGTTATATACATATTTATACGTAATCTACTATAGATCATATAATGAAGTGCACTAGTGTATATAAAAATATATTCGCAAGATTTTGAAAAAAAGTAAAATAAATGTTTTAATCAAATTTAAATACATTAAAGTAAACAAAGGCGACTTCATCACCCTCAACCACCATCCACTTCCTATATGGGTGGATATCCTTTCATGTTATCTGCTTACAGGTTCCAGTGGGTTACAATAAGGCGACTGTATACAATACATACAATTCGCTATATTAACACCGGCATTTCTTCATAAGTTTTCTCATATAAAACAAAAAGTTTGACTTTGATTAATGAACTTACTTTCATGTTTATCTTTACCCATGTAAAGATGGCATGGTGGAGATACAACATTGGATTCAAAATAAAATACCATTTTGACTAACAAGCGTGCAACTGCCTTAACGCTTCAATTAAAAATCATAAACAAATAAAAATTGCAAGCAATATTTTTAAAGGAACGCTGAACTTTTTGAAACAGCCAGTATAGCAATTATCGTTTTGAATTTTTCCTTTATCGATAAAATTACGAAATTAGCTGTCATTCTATAATCAACACATCTTGTTAATACAATTAATGAATTATCAATTATTTTTACAAATTATGTTAAATTAATTTATATAGGCGAATTATAACTATATAATTATAATCTAATATGTATAATATGTATAATCTAATATAAATTCTATTATATCCACAAATATAGGGGATATGTTGATAGATACCCACTCGGAAAAAAAAATATAAATAAATACTATATATAAAAATTATTTACATTACATTAAATTACACACAATATTAAATAAATATCTTTTTATATATCCGTTCATTGCATGGTATCTTCACCACGCTTATTGTCAATGTTAAATGTTACATTGTGGTGAAAATGATTAAATAATTTGATGTGTATTTTTTGACATATTATTTGGTTTTATTAAGTGGTTAGTACTATATAAACATATATTAATATTTAAAAATAGCTAATTCCAGGGTTCGTATTTACTCACTCATGAGCAGCTCAGGCTCATGAGCAAGAGCCAATTCTTATGTGAGATCAAAATTGGGTCATGAGCGTGAGCCCAAAATTGGCTCATATTGAAGAGCTGCTCACCAGCGTGAGCCTTTAAATTGCTCATATTGAAGAGCTGCTCATGAGGTCTCACGAGCCGAGAGCTCACGAGCTCAATTGTTTAATAAAAAGCGATTTATTAGTTTATTTGCTTTATTTATTTTTATAAACGTTATATGTGGAAATATATAATATGAAATTAACTTAGTTTATTATTATTTATATTAAAACAATATAATGACACAATAATTTGAATTTGAAAAACAAATTTATAAAATATTATTATTTTCCACAAATAAACAATACAAATATATTTAGTGTTTATTTTAAGAACTTTAATTATTTCCATATTTAGTTCAAGGTTATTAATATTTTAAATCTTTTTTAATGACATGTTTTCACAAAAAAAAAAAAATAAAATTTTAAATTGGGCGCTGCGGCTCATGTGAGCTCCCATCGTATGAAATCAGCCGCTCATGGGTACGCAAATACGAACTCTGGCTAATTCCGCAAAATATAATTTTTTTATTATTGCATTTCTGTCACATTATCAGTGAATGGCAGAGTGTACAGGTAAATATATATTATGTTAAAAAAAACAAACGCTTTGTAAGGTATTTTTTTCCTAAATATTAAGTATTACATGAATTTCAGGTAAAATGCTTTTGATCGAAAATATATAGAGCACAGGCTCTATATATAGAATAAACTTTTATAAAGATTTTTTGTTATCATTTGTATAAATTAACAAGTATGATTAGCTATTACAGAGAGAAAATATATTACATTTTTTAAGAATGAATGAAATACATTTTTTCCAATTAAATGATTTACTAATATATCGTGTAACCATAGTATAATCTGTAAAAACATTTACGGAAATAAATACTATGTAATACCATGTTCTCACTGTAGCTAAATTAACTTATATTAATCCAAATAAGATTTGGTCTTTTCCATTGGCATACGTTGATTTGTGCATCTTAAACAACTTTTATGTATCAGAAAGTTCTACATAAGTTTTAGGAGAGCTTTTCTTTGTTTACATTTCAATTGTAAGAAGTTGATATTTAATTTTGTATTGTTTGCAAAAATTCATTAATTGATCATGGAAAATACAGGTAATTTAATATGCAATGTTTGTAAAATTGTTCACAACATAAATAAAGCAATAGTTACATACAGAAAACGTGCAATGAGTCGGAAAAAATTAATAACTGAAAAAACAACAAATAGCATTAATTTCCTCTTAATTTTATTAAATCACACATCAATTTCTTGAATATCTAATACATCTTTAATTAATGAAAAGAAAAAATTTATTAAATATTAATACATAATTCTTTTTGTCATTGACTTTTTGAATTATAGTCGCTACGAATTTGAAATAAATAAACTGCATTTAATGATATATCATAAAAAAAATTAAATATATATTAAACCATTTAGTTATATTTTATATATCTATTACATATTCAATTAATAAAAACAAACATTTTATTAAATACTTACTTTCTCAGCATGTTTGTTTACAACTCAACTTTTGTTTGTTTATGTTTTACATATAAAACATATGATATATTTTCAATTTTGGTCATTTCCCTTGCGGGAAATTTATTTTTAAAAGTTGTATTCGACATTTTTGATCTAATTTCCTTTCATTTATTTTTAAGTATCTTTCTATGGTTAATGAAATTTACTTACTCAGTTACACTTACGTTAAAAATATGATATTAACTAAGTTAAATAGCACGAAAGCTCTTTGTATGGTTAATAAAAATACATCAGCGATCTTAACTAAATACCCTGGTCTAACGAAGGGAGTGGGAACATACTTTAAGGCTACTGTATTTACTTAGCAATACAATATGACTAAATTATTTTTACTAAATATTACTTAGCACAGTAGCGCTTTATGCAGTAATTAACAAAAATTTTTGTTAAAAAAATCAAAAGCTTTATGGAAATAGAAATTTTACTCTTCAACTTAAAAACAGTAAAGTACAAAATAACGTAATAAACGTTAAATAACAAAAGTTTATGTTTGTGTGTATCAAAGCCGGCATTAATATCTAGTTTTCTGTTATGGTGTGTTACTAATTATTTAAAAAATTTGGAATGGAAATGGAAAAACTGATTTACGTTAATATAGTCATTACAGCAAAAACTGAACGTACATTTTTCCCACGATCACCATACCACACTAACGGTATGGAGAATTTTTAAATTGCAAAAATAATTCAGTAAGTTGCCAATCTTTAACTTATGCGATTTCAATTTATATATTATAATAATTGCGGACAATCTTTAAATAGGGCAGTCTGATGACGACTGTCCAATTGAGTCATTATATAAAAATGTAGCAGAAATCAGAAGTAGCTATTTACAATATCTTCCGTATTTCAACACATCCACAAATCATCGCAGTCAAATACCAAAACAGGAGGTTAGTGATCACAAAAAACTAATTATACATTTACGAGCTTTAGTCACTTCTTCATAAGAAGTCATAAATTCAAACGATATTATGTCGTTTTTCATATTAAAGGAAAGCAATATTGTGTGTGTACTTTTCATTTTTTAATTTCCAGCAATAGAAGGTTTTTTTAATTTAATAATATTATTTTACCCATTTTAATTTTTTTTAATTACGTCTATATAATCTAAATAAATATATTTACTAGTTTATTTACATATTATTAAATTAAGTAAATATTAAGTTGTAATTTTTGTAATAATTTAATAAAATTTTGAAAAATATTTTAATTTAATACATATGCTACTGTTTTGAAATAGTTAATATTCAGAATAAACACTTTTCATTAAAACAAATCGTTTAATTTAAAAATATTTCAATTTATTTCATAATATAATATTATAAAACATTTAAGCATTGCTTATAAAAATCTTCTCTTATGACGTATATTTAAGGTACTTTTAAGTTTAATTATTGTAAATGGAATAAACAAATCTGAAACCGTAGTTTTGAATGTAGTGTTTACATATTGGAAACAAGCTACGTGAAGCACTAATTTTCTCGCTCATAATTTTTATTTCTTTATTAATTTTTGTTTTTATTTAATTATTGTAAATCAATTTTGTATAATTATGCTAATTTTTCCATTACAAATAATTTAAATATTTACGGAAGTAGATAATAACATTTAACAAGATTATATAAAAAGATAAATGGAAGTTCGTACTGCTATTTAAACTACAGCACTCAGCTGTAAAATTCAAAATTTTTGGATAATATTCGTTCCAAAATGATATTCTATGAATATTATTTAAAGTTTTATATTCAAAATTATCATTAATATTTAAAAAAGTTCTATTTAACTTATTATAGGGACTCCATTTTACATAAACATTAGATATTGTAGGGTTGGAAGTTTTTGCAAAATTAGCCCAAAGAGTCATTACTATATCTGAAATTTTTTTATCTGTATAATTCCATTCTTTAACGAGTTCGTAATTGTTCATGTACGGTACGCCCCATATAAATATTTGATCATAAAATTTTGGTACGCTTACCCAAGTAGGTAGTTCGTAAAACTTGGTTTTTGGTTTTATATTAAAGAAGTATGTATATATACTTTCACTTTCAGTTAAAATATCTGCAAGTTGACATGTAGGTGCAGCATACATTTTGTCCGTATAAAAATTAACAAAACTGTTAAGTACATCTCCGCCGTTTCTAACGTCGTATATATAATCGATTGAATCAATTACTATTTGCGAATGCGAGCACACACTTTCAAATTCTGGTTCATAAAGTTTTTTAAGATCATTTAAAGCAATATCTGAAATCACTTTATAAAAATCTTCACTTGTTATTTTATTTGTATTATCGTTTTCAATGATAAGTAAAGCATCTTCCATATCTGTCAATCCGATTAAAAGTGGGACTTTATGATAGTTTCCTACTTTAAAAGACATAATTGGTTCAGTTTCAATGAATGGCAACGAAGTATTGCTTAATCCTCCATCAATAACTGGACCCCATTCAATTGGCGGCATGTTATCTATAATAGTTTTTGCATCGTGACGTTTTAAACATTGTATCAATAGATAAGTTGGTTTGTTTGGACAATCAAATACATTTGCAATCATATCTAAAGTTTTTGCGTATTCAGTTGGATTTTTAACAACATCTTTTGCCAA